TCTCCCTCCCTCTCTCTCTCTCTGTTTAATGGTCTAATGTCCAGTCCCTTGTTTTCCCCTTCAGGCATGTCAGAGAAGCACACGTTTACCAAGGAGTTTTCCCTCTCCGAGTACACCAAGGAGCAGAAACGAATCCACCGGGCTGTCTTGGAAGAGCAACGTCGCCAGGGCAAGATGTTCCCCTCGCCTCTTCTCAGCAACAGTACTGCACTGCACCCGGCTGAGCCTGGCCCTGATGATGATGACGATGATGACATCTCCTCGGGCAGTGAGAGCGATAGTGACTACGACGACTACTACTTCCTGCAGCCGCTGCCGATCCGACAACGGCGTGTGCTGCTGAGGACGTCTGGGGTGAAAAAGATTGACAATGAGGAGAAGGATGAGTGTCGGGACATCCGTGTTTCACGTAACGTGTGTGGCTGTGACTGCCAGTTGTTCTGCGACCCGGCCACCTGTTCGTGCAGCGCTGCAGGCATCCAGTGCCAGGTTGACCGCCTGTCCTTCCCCTGTGGTTGCACCAAAGACGGCTGTGGCAACGCCTCTGGTAGGATTGAGTTCAACCCCATCCGAGTGCGCACACACTTCATACACACCCTCATGAGGCTGGAACTGGAGCGCAAGGACTCTGAGACATTAACCTCTGGATTGTTGACGGATGCTGACAATGGGTCTGCCTACTCCTCATCCGATGTAAGTGGGCATGTGGATGTGGTCGGAACAGGGGAGGAGGAGGAGGAGGGAGAAGTGCAGAGGGAGCAAGATGGCAGCTGCAGCAGCACCAACAACAGCAGCAGCTGCAATATTCAGCTGGACAGTCATAGCAGCCAGGGGCCTCTCAGCAATGGCAGTTGCAGCAGTAGTAGCAGCAGCGCTGACGGTAGCGGCTGCAAGCCTCCTCTTAAGGGTCGTCTCAAGAGCAAGACGGAGGAGTCGATCGACCTGAACATGTTCAACAGCAACGAGCGCGGGAGTTGTCGCGACTGCCAGAACACAGACATGTGCAACGTGATGATGCATGATGTCAAGTTCTCCATGGTCTCACAACACCAGCGTCAGCAGCAGCAGCAGCAGCAGCAACGGGTCATATCAGCAGCCATGTCAGCCCCAGCCTTTGTCAGTGCGGCGCAGCAGCTACAGCAGCAACAGCTACAGCAGCAGCAGCACCATCAGCTCAACATCCCTGGGGCCATCTCCCTGCTTCACCCGCCGGCCTCCCCTGCAGCCGTGACCCAGCAGCAGCACAGTCAGCACATGCTGCTTTTCAATGACGGAGACGAAGAAGTGTATCAGGGGGAGGCCACCAGCTCCATGTACTTTGACAATGAAGACAGTGCATACACAGACCTCTCTGACAGCGGCACCGCTCAGTCGCTGGATGCCAGACCCTTTGCCAGCCTGACCCGCGGTGGTCCACAAGGCAAGTTTCGCGTGACACCCTCCCCCCTGTTCTCCTCGGGCCTGGTGGGTACACCTTCCCCTGCCCCACCTCTGGCCACTGGTCATGCCGAGGCCTCACCAATGTCTAGTGGAAGCTCACTGCTCAACCTGAGCTGTGTCCGCAACCTTCCCGCTCCCAGTGACGGTCCAGCCCCTGTTGTGCGTATGTCTGGCCCTCAGCTCCCACTGCTGCCCCCAACACTGCAGCAGCCTCCCCCTCTGTCCCCCGGCGCACCCCCTACCACCAGCAGTCAGCCGCTGCAGGGGTCCCCGTATCTGCAGGACGGCCCCACTGCCACAGTAAGGGCCCCACTGGATGCTAGTTCAGCAAATTCGGTGCCTCAGGACGCAGGCCTTGGTGAGACTGCACGGATCTCGGCCAACAGTCTGCTCCATCCTGCCATGACCACAGACGGGTCGGCAGTGGGATTAGAAGAGGACACTCTGGCTTTCCCAAACCGCATGGCCGCTGGATATCCTCTGAAGTTTCATACTGGGGACCAGCTGGACGTTTCGCACCATGTGCCGACCTCTCCCCACAAACTGAAGGCGGCCACGTCTCAGTGCTTTCCCTCAGACAGTTTGGCCAGTGGCCATGATTACTTAGCGGGCCCAGATGGGAACAGTCGCTTTGTATCTTCGCCGTCCGCCAGCTGTTTAGAGACTCTCGGAGCCCCCACCACACCCAGCCATAGCAGCAACGGCAACGTCACCAGCTATGACTCTCTGCACACGGCCCCACTCTCCTCGTGCTGGACACAACCACTGGTCAGCCCCACCCTGGCCAACACACTGCCCCATACACTAGCCCATACTCTGCCAGAATGTTTTCGCCTAGGGAGCTCTAGCCTGTCAGCTGCTGTGGTCAGCTCCGCCACAGATGCTCAGGGATCTGCCCTCACTGTCTCTGACACTCCCAGCCGAAGTGGACAACTTTCTTCTTCCTCCCCCTCGTCATCCTCATCAGCTTCGTCAACAACGACGTATGCAACCATGACAAGCACAACCCGCGACCGCCTAGCTGCCCACTGCCCGGGGATCTCCTCTCACATGGATGGCCCACGGGATGTGGCTGCCCACACACTTACAGATGCCCCAACCACACTATCGCAGTTTGAGCTTAGTCATGAGAATGCTGTCACTTCCTCCTTTGTGGCTCCACGGGAAATGCCTGGCTATGATGGCTTCATCAACCCAACGCCGCCCAGCTCTACCGCTGCTGCATGTGCGAAGCATATTGCCTCGCAGGACGAGGGTGGCTGCCGGACGGCTGCTCACAACACTGGCCAGACATCGCTTTTGTCAGCCCAGATGGGGGTAGTGGCACCAGTGAACTCAGCTCATGTCTCCTCTTCCTCCTGCCTGCAGTTCTCCTCCGACCCGCTCACGGTCTCCTCATCCACAACATCTGCAGCAACGCCAGACACTCCCCCTGACGCTGCAGAGTCGCCCCCTTCTGGGACAGACCAGTCCACTATGGCCTGCAAGTCTGACGCAACAAATAGTGAGTCGGCCTCAACAGAGGTCAGCAAGGATCCGGTGACACAGGCCGACTCCACTGCCACCTCTGCTGACCAGCAGGAAGAAACACCCTCACTGGATGGTCTGAGCCACAGCAGCCTTGATAGTGTGTGTGCTACATCAGGGGCCAGAAGTGAGTGTTGTGCCAATGGGCCGTCTGTGACCGCCGAGGCTGTGACCAGTAGTGACTCCAGCATTGATGGGGGTGACACACGCTCCACAGGCGGGACGACGGAGCACACGGGCCTTGAGGGGAACTCTGGGAATGCTGGTGATTGTGCTGACGGTGGTGCTCATGTTGACAATGGTGCTGGGCTGCCCGATGGGAAGTGCCAGTGGGGACAGGGAGGGAACGGTGGCCAACATACTTGCCTGAGCTCGGTCTCAGCTACAGCAGACTCAGACCTGGACTTTGAAGATCACAAGAGGGAGGCAGATGGAGGCTCATACCCTTCTTCAGCCACGCAGTCATCATCTTCATCATCCCCCAGCAGCGAGGAAGACAAGGATAGAGGTTCAGTGGGTCAGAACTTTGGGGAGATCATCAAGGAATCCATTGTGGAGATGGTGTTGGTGTGAGGGGGTCACTCATGCCTTTTGTTCTTACCCTGATAATACTAGTCACACTAGGAGAGGTCAGGTGGGGGTGGGGGAAGGGAATGGCTCAGGATGTTTGGACAAGAACTGAATGTTGGGTTTTTTTTATCAGTGAAGATTGTAGATCTGATATCTGTGGGTGGAGTGTCCTTGGACAAACTGTATTGTTGGGGAGTGAGTGGGTGGCTGTGGCAGTGGGTCTGTTGCTGAGAGTGCTTTAGTGCTGTATCTTAATCTTGTCTTGTTCTCCTCATTGTAGCTTGGCTTTCATTTATGCTGTAGGCATCTGGTGTATACACACTCATGCATACATGCCAACACAGATGTAAGCCTCTGCCCATATGCTTTGCTTGTCACCAAACCCTGAACAAGACGTGTCTTAGGTGGCCTTCGGCTTTATTGTATATGTTGCCATGTGGCAGTGGTAGTAGTTGATAAAGCTGCCTCTTCCCTGCTTTGAACTGTCACAGTTGCTACTCCCGCTCGGAGTCTTGAGACTTGGTAGTAACTCAGTAAGCCCTAATCTCCTGCACAGATAAGATTATTATATATATCTGTATTCATCTTCTTGTATGTTGCATATCAGTTCATACCCTTCCTCCTCACATTGTGACAATCTTGCATAAATAAATGTAGAGCAGAACCAGCGAGTTACAATCACATACCGGTGTCCCCCTCACAAACAACCCCAGGGGGTTGTGATGTCAGTTTGGGCTCTTTGGGAGGGGGTCGTAAATTTGACAGTAGAAAAAGAAAAAAAAGTTTGCGAAGTGGATAGATTTGAGTTGGAGCATGAATGCCATTAGCTGTAACTACTGATTGTTGCCTGCACCAGTCAGAGCAATTGTGAACACGTTACTGGTTACCAGGGCTGGTCAGCAACTGTATAAAGATGTCACTGACAGAAAATGATTGAGCATTGTTGATGCAGAAGGTGGAGGTAGTAGAGTCTTGTCTCGTGACACTGTCCTTCGTGTCTAGGAGACTTTGATGTGCAATACTTGAGCTGTTTTGTATTTGTGTGTGTATGTATTTGTCAACAGGTGGAGAATCATTTTTATATAATTTTTAAGTCTTGGCAAAATGCTGGATTAACAGCCGTCTTTTCTGTTTTTTGATGATATCAGCATTTTTTTTTTTTTTAAAGTTTGAAGCAAAAGTCAATCATCTCTGGTAATTGTGAGAATGTGACTATCTATGTAAGCAAATTCAGTTCAGCTGTCATTAACAAGAAGCTCTTATTTAAGTAAGTTTTGATGCTCTGCGAAGTAGGAACGAATGTGTTCGTTATTCATACGTATACTACCAGTCTCATAACAAAAGGTTATTATTACCCCGTAGCCTGGTTTTTGTTACTGAAGCATTTCAGCGTCATGGGAGTCCCCCTTCCCTGTTGGCTTCAGTTTCTGGCTGAAATGCAAGGTATTGAGGAGTATGAGATGAGATGAGACATTTTACCCTAATGAACTCACAGACAGACTTACACTGACACAGGCATACACCTACCTCTGGGCCTCTCTCTGACATACAGATAATTCTTTGTATGACTTTTATGTTGAGTATGTTGAATCTGTACATTAATTTTATCTATCTATATATCTGACTATATATATTATTATATATATATATATAAATTCTATGATGTGAATCCATGCGTGTAGTTCTTAAGGGGTATGTGTACGTCTGGTTCCCTTGTGGGTGTACACAAGTCTGAGCCAGGGCGGTCACCCTGTTGTGGTGTTGCTGCTTGTGCCGTGTTGACGGTGTTGGCACACGGTCCCGCATTGATGACGCAATGTCCTATTTTAACGCAATATCACGGCATAATGTCCGTGTTGAAGACGCAATGTCCTTGCAGACGCAATATGGCGACTCCATGTCTTATATAGTCGACGACGCATTGTCATGTGCAAATGGGGGAATTCCTCCTCGACTTTTGTCCAACCCCCCCCCCCCCCCCCCCCCAACATCTCCTGATTCCCTCTTGGACTTTGTGGTTGTTTTTGTTGTTGTTGTTTTTTTTTTCTGCCGACACTTGCTGTACTCATGAGCTTGGATCTGACCCTCGCAATATGTTTTTCTATTTCTTTCCTGTAAATGGAACTGGTGCAAAGAGAATTCTCTGACTACTCAGCTGTATAACTCGTCCTTTCCTCCCTCCCCCACCTGCCATCTGGATTTACCATTTGTAGCAACCCCCCAGCATTTTAAGTGCTGTCTACTTGTATCCATCATGTTGAGTATCATCATTATCATATTCTTAATAATGATGAGATTGTTATAATTACTATGATTATTATTATCACTATGATTATTATTATCACTGTTATGATTATTGTAAAGCTGTTGTGTTGTGAGCTCGGTGTTGTTGTATCAGTGTAGCCATTGTCATTGACGCCGAGATGTTGCAGTGGTGTAGACACACCGTCATGGCTGCAAGCTGTACAGAGGGGGCACGTTGCGTGCATGTGCTGAGGTTATAGAGCTGTGACCAAGTTTTTCTAGGACTCTGCCATGATACAGGACATGTATCGGGGACAAGTAGTCAGGATCACTGTTCTATGGTATGATCTTGTACAAATGTAGATTTGCTTTTCCATTTCTGGTTTTTCTATGTACCATATTGTATTGTATCAAATGGCATGATATGCTCTCCCTTCCCCACTCTCTCTCCTCTCTCTGTGGCTTCCTGCTCAGTGATGGTGGCTAGGGGGGAATTGGGGTGTATGCTCACATCAGCTTTACCTGACTGGTGGACACGTACTGTTGACATCATCTCTTTGTACCGACCCCCTCCATACGTAACCGCCACATCCCCCTCCCTTCTCCCCAAACTGATGCTTTGTTCTGCTTTTCCTCCTCTCCCATGCCCCTTCCTCCTCTCCCAATCCCCATCTTGTGCAAAGTTCCCTTTACTGTTGTTTTAAGATTTATGATCGGTTTTATTAACCTCTTTAAGAACAAATCCTGTATTAAGTGACCAAGGATATGGCTCCGCTTTTGGTGTATTTTTTTTTGGTCCCAAAGAACATGGCGGAGGTGAGTGCTTTCTATGATGTTGTTATTGAAGTGGGGCTTTTTGAGTGTCGAGAACTCAGTCAGGAGGAGGAGACCAAGGTGGTTGTGGTGGGAGAGGGACTAGGGTGAAGAAAGCCGGCCCCACACGTTAAAGATTTGTTCTGCAAGGATGCACGTGCTTGAGGAGGAGCTGGTAGTACATGATTTACCAGTGTCCGACAGCCGTATCAATGACCTCTACTCAATTTTGTCCCCCCTTTATAGTCTTCTCCCTCCCAACCCCCACTTTTGTTTTGCCCTATCCACATCGTTTTACTCCATGCTTAAATCATTTTTGTCTGTGATACGAACTACATTTTTGTTTGGTTTTACTTCAGCACTAGTGTGACTTTGTTTTTAATCGTTATCATTTTTAATTTAACGACTTGGATGGCATTTGCTTTTTTTATATTGATTATAAAAAAAAAGCGAGATTAAGACATGTTGATGTACTCCCACACCATTCACTCACCCATAAACACACGACCCGGCACAGACTAGAGAAAGAAGCAGCTGTGGTTTCATCCATAGGATGATGGTTTCCTTAGTCTGTTTCTGTACCACTAGTGTTTAGGCTTAGGCTGTTGGTTTGTTGTTGTTGGTCAAGTGTGTTTGTGTTGGCTGTATGCTCTAGTTGTTTATATGTGTATGTGTGTGTGTAGACTGTTTGTTGTGCGTCTCCGCCTACGTGGGCTGGTTGTTTTTGTTACTCATTTTTTGGTCTGTGTATGTAGGCTGTCTGTTATCTTTTGTTTGCATCAGTTACGGTACTTAATGTTATTGTTGGTCTTTGTGTGCATTGGTTGGTTGTTTGTTGCTCTTGACGAATGTGTGTGTTGGCTTTCCTTTTGTTAATTTTTAGTCTGACATTTGTATTTTTTTGGTACTCTGTTTTCCTTTTGTAAATTGTTGTTCTGCCAGTGTCACACAAACGTGATAGTACTCATTTTGTAGCGAAAGATTGTTCTTCATTCAAACAAACACACACAAAATACAGTTAAGTACAATTTCTCTCAATACACTCACTCCCTCATTAATTCGGTTGCTAGTAGTATTGCGGTCAGGGTGTTGGTCTTGTCAGTGTTTCTGTGGTTGGCTTGGCAGTACCTGACGTGTATTGCCCTTTGTACGTGAACTCTAAGATGATGAGGACTATTTATTTCCCCGCGACATCTCTAGTAGCTGTGTCACGGGAGGAAAGGACCAAGTGGCGCATGGCGGGCGATGTGCCAGGTGCTGTGTGTCCCCAGGTTCTGTCGTCTCCTCCCTACTGTCTCATGATGCTCTAACTTTTGCTGCTTTTATTGTTTTCAGAATTCACAGTTTCTGTGAGCCAGCAGTCTTCAATATTTTAGCTGTTTTTGTTGTGACTTTTTGTGAAATCTAGAACTATCTAAGTAAAAAGCGAAAAAAATGTACCCTTATTGTTGAGTCATTTTTTCCTTCCTGGTTTACTGGTGTGATTTTATGGTGTGTTTAGCAGGTTTGAAGGTCACATGTGGTAAGACACATGAAGCAAGTTTCAAGATGGAGGATACTGGAGATTTTTCTTTGGTCTCTTTGTTTCACCAATTGCTGAAAAAAATTTGGCAAACAATTACCTTTGGTCAGATTATCGAACCCTACAGTTCTGTTTTGCTGGAAAACAAAGAGCATTATTACACTATAGCTCAGTACCTCTCCAGAAATTTTTATCAGCATTAAAAAAACCCCTTTATAGATGAGATATCCTCATTTGTTGACCACTCTTTATTTTGTTGGAAATGTTTTCTGTTTAGATAAAGTATAGAGCCTCCAGTCCATCAAACCAAATACCAACTGACGAGAAATCGGTTGTTCAAATAGAGCATCAGTTTTAACCTTAGCTCAGTGAAAAATTTGTTAAGATGTGTCCGTCAAAGCGACACAACCTCTCCTGACAAAAGACGGTTTTGTCGCAAATGAGAGTTCTGGTTATAGAAAGTTCCTATACTTGTAGGCGTTTTGGATTGTTGATAATGGTTTGTAATGGGTTGAATGCATTGCCCAAAAGTTGAAATAATAAATCTGAAATCTGAACTGGTAGTGTGTTATTTGTAGAGAGAGATAGACACAGGGTGGTATTGTAATGTGTTTCGATGTGGTGAAAATAGGCGCTTGTCAATTTTTGGGCATATTGAGTTATTGATATAGTCTAAAAGCTTGTTCATTTGTCTTTCTTTTGGTGAGAAGAAATGCCCATTCATCTTGAAAAGAAGTCAAGATATCTGCGATTGAAGGAGGTGGGGGTCACCTGGTTTCAGAGGTAAAATTAGCAAGCGAATGGCCGCCAAAGTTTGGTGACTTCCAAAGCTTTAGAGTCTTTGGAAACATAAATGTACATTTTTGTGCCTTTGATCGTCTTTCCGCATAATGGACACAGAAATGTGTTTTTAAATTGACATAAATGGTGTACAGTCCAAAACAGAAAAGTTGATTAAAATTGTTTAACAGGCGGAAAAGTATGGTTTTCTTCGATTTCACTTTTTTTAAGGAGCGCCTGATGTCACCACAATGCTTCACATATTTTTCAGTCTGTTAGGCTTCTTCTTTTCCCAAATGCCAGATTCGAAACGAACATCAGTGATCATGGCCCTCCACTCACTCATTTCTCTGCTCGGATGCTCTGAAAAATCCTCTATATTGTCCTAGTCTTTTTCTGTGAAGGGGTCATGGACAGTGAAAGATTTTGTTGGTATGTTAGTGTGACAGCACCTATGAAATGGTAGCTTGCACGGTTTGCTTACTGAGAAGCTGAGAATGTTTTCGAGTGATCTAGGGTTTGCTAGGGCTATATAAATTGGAAAGGAGTTAAAGAATGCTGTAGAGCATGGACAATATATATGCGGTTATTATTAACGATCATTTAGTGATCGGGAAGAAGTCATAAGTGTACTACAGACATAAGATTACTGTTGAAGTTGAAGGAGTGGAAAGAAGTAGAACTTACACCGTCACTGACAGTGGTATGACTGAAACAAAGACAGATACCAAGAACATGACAGTGATTGACTGAGACTGAGACACTGACACATTCGACGAGTTGATGTCTTTGGGGGAGTGGAAGCAAAGGTCAACTCATCCGAATTTCAAATTAGTCGTTTGGATCTCTAAAGACGAAGAGGTGCTGAGACCCGAGAAAAGATAACTCCGGCAAGTTCACAAGCAGAATCGACTGTATAAAGGTAGATGAAGACAGAGGTAAGGCCTGTAGACAGAGCCATAAGGCATCCCCTCTCCTTTCACAATCTGAAGAAATTTGTACCCTTTGTTAAAAAAATCCCCAAAACTTACAGGACCAAATTGTGTTGATAATACTGATACACAAATACAGTGGAAACCATATATAACAGGCCCGGTAATAACAGGGATCCGGTAATAACGGATTTTTTAAATCCCCGTTTTTTTCTACTCTTTGTCTCTATTAAAAGTTATCGGCAATACATGTAACTGGGCCTCCTCGGAGCCCAACCAGTTATAACAGGGACAAAGGCTCGTTAACAATGTGTCAAAAGTAAGAGAGAGAGAGACAGAGAGAGAGAGAGGACGACCGGTCGGCCTAGATCTAAGCCTACTTCTTTCATTATGGTCACCAACGATATCAAGCGCAAGAGAAAATGACTTTCAATAGACAAAAAATGCGAAATAATCCAGACTGTTGACAAAAAGCAAGCTCAACAGGCAGAGATTTGTCGTCAGTTCGACATTCCACAAGGGTCAATTCCCACCATTACAAGGATAGAGAGAAGACAGTGGAAGCATACTCCAATGAAAAGTTTGCTCTGGATCGAAAGAAGATGAGACTACCCGATGCCTATGCTGTGGTCCAAGCTCTTCTGATGTTGGTGCTAAAACTAAAACTCCTGTTCGTGGGTACTTGTGGCTAGGGAAACTACCCATGAATAAGTAGCCTACTGCTAGATTAGTCCACAAATGCTCACTTTCCTTGCATTTCGGATTTAACAGAGATCGGATATAACAGGACTTTTTCTCTACTCCCACCATTCCTGTTATATCAGGTTTCCACTGTACTAAACTACTCTTAGTCAGAGAGTGATACTCGGATAAAAAACAATTTTTTTTTTGTTGGTAAGTGTTATACAACCCTCGCAACTGCATAAGGTCATCATATGAGTGTGCGGGACACATTCAACATTTTCAGTTGGTAGGAAATTTAAAATTTTGCCCGCGTCCAAAGCCTACCCTTATCGATTTTGGACCATCAAGGGATCTAAAGGCCCGGTTACACGTAACGATAAATTGTACAAAAACTGGACGATCTAGCGATCATACGATAAATCGTCAGGGGCAACCACAAAATTTGGACAATTGAATGATGGTTTGGAGACTCGGTCGAGAAATCAAACGCTGCTTGGTATTTTTCATGCGATCATGGTCAGATTGGGGGAAGACGCGCTGTGACGTAGATTCACTTTGAAGTTTGCCGCCGCGCAGAACTAAACTCATGGCTCAAAATGTTTTAAATAATTATCGTAGGTAAAAACTGATTTCATATTCGGAATCAGTCTCTCAAAGTAAGCAAACTTGCTCGCAGAGAACCTGATTTGGAGCGTTATTATATATATATTTGAACAATTTCATTATTTAGTTGATCGTCAAGGGTGATGCTGTGCATCAAGGTCACTTGGTGCGTTGCACATCTGCACTCAAGTCATAGTTTCCGGTTCTACACACAACACGGTAGGCCTACAGTATGGCCACCCTTTTCTAAAGACACTGTTCTGCTAAATTAAAATGTACAGGGGGGGGGGGCTCTGGTGATCTAGAGGTGCAGTGTTCACCTTTAGAGCTCGAAACCTTCACAGAGAGAGCAGGCAAACTGCCATCATCGCAAAAAGAGACACGCCGGCTTTATGACGAAGAATCTCCTCAATCGATAGAAAACTGGACGATAGATTGGAACGTGTAAAAAGACAACACATTTCGATAAAACGGACTGTTCTCTCGTACGACGAATCTGATACTATTTGTCGTTGCGTGTAACAGGGGCTTTAAACTTGCCCAACTTGAACACGGGACTCTGAGACTTTTCGCCCTTGTCCCAGAATGCAGGGTGTAGATCTTTCCTACCATAAGATCAAGGGTGTGGCTGAAAGACAGCAGTAAGAAGGAGCCTAGGAGTAGCAGTAGAAAGGCCGCAAACAGAGTCAGGAGTTCAGAGGAGGCGGCAAAGGGGGTGAGAGGGTGGGGGCAGAATGTGAAGACAAGCAGACAACACAACATTGTTAAAGAGCAGGAAAAGAAATGAAAGAAGAAAATTTTAGGGAAGAAAATTTATATCGCTATCCGGATTCGAAAACGGGACCTATTGAATGAGAGGCAAACACCTTAACGTCTAGACCATGAGAGCCCCCTAACAAACTTTGATTCAACAAAACTCGGTTTTAACAAAAGGTGGTGGTTTTCCCATCTTTTTAATTCATCAAAATCAACACAATAACTAGGATTCAACTGACATAAATGAGTCAACTCGGATTCAAAGAAGCCATTTGCTGGGCAAACAGTCCTTGCTGATATGTGGCTTTATGCATTTTTCTCCCGGAACAAGGCTAATATATTCCATTCCAGTGGACAATTGATTACACAGGCACAATGAATAGATCGTTACATGCTTAACCCAGCTCATTGTGCCCTTCTTATATGACCAATCACAAGCTGACCCACTCGTAAACAAGGCATATTGTGTTTTAGCATGTGGCGGAGTCAGGAGAGGTCAGATGGGGGTCAGCACATGTCAACCGTAACTATGTGCGTCTAGGGAGAGGTGGGTGTAGGGTGGGCGTAGACACAAGCATTCTGTGTGTGGAATGTCAGCAGAGATGCAGATGCATCACAAACAATCATATCCCCCACCGGCTACTGAACAATGATAGGCTGGCTCAAAGAACTATGTACTGAATTGCAGGCTAAGCTGTGGAACCAAGCACTGCCATAAAAGCTAGAACCTATACTGCAACGCAAATTGTAGCACACATTGCTATTCAAACACTAAGAAGAGTCAATGAAATTGAATGTTTGGCCTCGCGACTTCATTATGTACGATGTTTCACTGTACCATAACAAACAAGCCAAAGCCCACAAGATTAAAGATCTGCACCCAACACGTGAAACATAAAAGTTTATTTTCTTTATTAATCTCTTTCAACTCTAAGCTCTAATTATAACTGATACCTTTACACCAGAGAGTCCTACACCGATCAGTATAATATGCTCCCTCAGACTTCATTGATTTCTCGATTTGTTCCCTTGGCTTAGGTCTAGACAGCCACACTGTCCAGCAAACCCTGGTAGACACCGAGAGCCTCACGTTCCTCGGTCAAGGTCAGGTCCAGATGGTCATTCTCGTCCCTATTGATGTCTTGCACCAGGGAGTCCAACTCCTCCTTCTCTTTCCTCAGTCGCTCCTTCTTCTCCTCCGGTGTCTCTGAGGAGGAAAGGTACAGTCAAAGCTGGTCTAACGCTATACGATAATCACCAGTACAAATGGCTGATTTTCATTTTCTCCCTTGCATATTTTTTTTTACTGTAAAATGGCACTGTATAAGACCTCCACTTATCTAAGACAACTACATTTCTCTTCGACAATGGGTGGCTGTCTATGACAGTTTCAACTTTATTTCAGATTGAAGCTCAATTTCTTACAACTCTGAGTGCAGACCACCAATATTACACATGCTGTACATCTCCATAATTGTTGTTGTAGTGATCGGAGCAAACATTGACACTGCTGAATTTTGACTTATCATATAAAATAATTAAAGCTTTTTTCAATAAGTAGATAAAATAGATCAATCTTTATTGTCCAGACGCTGGCACATTGAATATTGGTTTGGTCTTTCACTTCACCACACACACACACACATTCTCTCCGACACCCTCCCTTTCACAAAAATGCTACACAGATAACATACCAGTTTATACTTGCTCTCACGAAAAGACCCACAGGCATACACACATGAAATACGATTTAAATGAACAATTATACACAATAATAACGTTTAAGCAGATACATTATCAGTGTTCTGATAGTATTCCAATAGTATTCTAATAATAACAGTACAGGCAGTTAAAAGTTGTCAAAATATGTAGTGGAAACCATATATAAAAGGCCCGGTTATAACAGGGATCCGGTAATAACAGGGATTTTTTTAAATCCCTGTTTTTTCTTACTCTTTGTCTCTATTAAAAGTTATCGGCAATAACACTACAGGGCCTCATCGGAGCCCAATCAGTTATAGCAGGGACAAAGGCTCATAAACAATGTGTAAAAAGTTAGAGAGAGAGAGAGAGAGTGAGTGAGTGTAACGTAGTGATGGAGCAAGCCCACACAAGCCACACCACTGCAAGCACACGCAGCGAGTGAAGCGAGAAAGGGCTGGGGTGTGTTGCAGACTTCGATCTAATCTAAGCCTAGCTACATGCACGCCTAATGAGTCATGCTCAGGCCTGCCACATGGCTTCGACAGAGCTGCGGTGTGCTGTTCGTGGGTACTTGTGGCAAGGGAAACTACCCAAGATTAATACAGCTGGATAAGTCCACAAAAGCTTACTTCCCTTACATTTCTGATTTAATAGGGATCTGATATAACAGTACTTTTTCTCTGGTCCCACCATCCCTGTTATAATATATACCAGGTTTCCACTGTATAGTACAAGATTATAAAGTGTAGACAGCAGGATGTTTAATGGATTATGGTAAATCTTTGGTTAAAGTAGAAGCATAGACTGTCTTTTTCTTCATGACATATTATAGACTGTCAAACACTGAAGATAGATTGACAGAGCTAAACAGAGACCGTTACTTCTTCATTGCTACAGTTGCTTTCAGGTCTTAAATAGCATTTATCATTCTATCTCGTCCAGAAACAAGCTCTGAGCTGTACAATCATTTAAAGTAGGCAATGCAGATATTTAAAAGTAAAAAAATATTTAAAAATTCGCTGAGGTGAAAAAGACAAGACGGTACGCATGATCTAAAAAGACTTGTTTTAAAATGCTGGAAAAAAAACCTCTCAGTATTTTCTATGTCTCTCCATTTTTGTGGGAGGGTTTTCCATGTTTTAGGGTCAGTAAACGGTAAAGATCTTTCACCAAAATGACTAGGATTTCAGCTTGGAACTTCTTTTTTTAAGCAGTGTCAGTTGATGACCACAGCTGTCTGGATCGAACGTGCTGGGTCAGCAATTCTTTTAAATATGGCGGTGCATTATTATTGACACTGACTGTCATTATTATTACTAGACACCCAGATTAACAAAGACAAAAACGCTGTCAGAATATAAGTATACTCTGGCATGCATATAGCAAAAGACGCATAGAGCGAACAGATTTCCCAAGTCCTGAATTTTTTCTAATTCTTACATTAATGTTTTTTGTACCGTACTTAAAACACACAGATAGTGAAATTCGTACAGCACGAAGAGATTTCTGATTTGTGCTAACTACACCATGTGCAGTCTAGACTGTACATGTACAAGCTTTACCTGTGGAGCAGGAAGAAGACGAAGAGGTGGACGAAGAATTTGAAGTTGACGACCCAGAGGAGACTGCACTGTGTGCTGTGGTTGATGCAGCCAGAGAGCCAGCACGCTCCAACATCAGATTTATTGTACGGAGAAGGTCGCCGTTGGAGTTCTCCAGAGCTTGTCGTGCCATCTCAAGAGGAAAGCCCATGGCAACCACCTGCACACAGACAATCTTTATTTGTGAAATGTGCTGATAAAATGAGTCTCTTCTCGCAATGAGAGAAAGATTGGAGATATCATCTAAAAATTGACACAGAGGAGTTGGATTCGTAGATTTGCAGCTCATAGCACTTTATCACTTTCTTCAATTTATCATGTCTCTTATCAGTTCTTACTAGGCTAATAAATTGTATAAAACTCAACCTATAAATTTGACACGTCTATGTCCATAAGGCTAAAATCTGAGAAGAAACTCATTTTGTCAGCATGGTTTACATTTGTCATTGGGCTAATAAGAAGCATATCGGCACAGAGAGTTGATGATGGAAAGCTGGACAAAAGTCTCCATAACATGAGTTTGAAATCACTTTCAACACACAAAGGTCACCTCTGAAGTGCTACTCTATACAAACCAACCTTTTGTAATTTTACCTGCTGATTTCTTCCAACATGATAAATTTACTTTTTCCTCAGAGCTTTCATTTCTATGTGTAAGTGTCAATATCTTGAAGGCTGTAGCTGTTTTGGAAATCAAATAAGACTTACAGATAAGTCTTCTGACACATGATTAAAAACAGTGGAACGTTTGTGCAAAGGTGTGATGTTTGGACACAATTGAGACGGACTTTGTTCAGTATTGTACACCTGACAGTTGTCAGCATGACCTATGATATGCTGTAAAACCATCCCAGTGACTGTGTAACAGGATTTCTGGCATGCTGTAAGTTGACCCCATAATGCGGCTTGCAGTAGTAAAAGTGTTAAGAGCATCTGAACAATGGAATGAACGGAGAACCATCATTGCCGATGTCTGCCGCAGATCTGGCACTTGGTGGTGATGATAGCCTCT